ATTGCTGAAAATTCTTGCTAAAGCCAAGATGTCTACATTTTCAAAAACATGCAGAGAAGGATTGATAAAATCTAAATTGAACTGTTAATGGTTGTTTATCTCTATAAGTTGGCCCTGCTATATGCTGGCAACATGTTATGGATGTGCCTGCATCTCGCCCTTTATCTGCTTGAATTCTGATTCTAATCAGCTTTGTTTTTGAAGTGCTTTTGAGGATGTGCTGCATCCAATTAAAAGCATAAGCCTTCATGAACGTGTGCCTGCTGTTTGACACACCTGATACTGATGTATAATATAAAAACTGTTTTATTGGCACTTCACATCATCCTGTGGCCGACCTATACAATTATCTTGAGCACTGCAATGATCCAGTATGTGCTTTATTTTTGTGCTATGTTATGCTTTTTTATAGCCAACATAAATGATTTATTTGAGGAGATGTTTTTTTCACATGTTTTGGCTTATAGAAACATAAAAGATGTATATGAGGATACTCTCTTCTGGGGAATAGAAAGCAGAACTCAATTAAATAAATTGTATAGGCTACAGGGGGGAGACCTTTAAAAAATAATATGTGATCACTGGTTTTCACATTGTTTAAAGTGTAGCACTTATACTTGCAGCCCTACTTTGCTGAATATGTAAATATTATTTTTAAAGCTCACGATTTCTGGCACTGATGAGAGGTTGTCTTATTTGTATAAATGGAGCAGGTTTTGTTTATTTGATGACTCATCAATCCTATACCCATCAAAGAAACATTAATGAAAGAATAAAATCGTACACCATGTTTATGACGTTTCAATTATACTTTACTGTAGTCGTTGTCTTTTTAAGTAGGTTTTCTTATTTTTGCAAAATAAGATGACAATAAACAACTCTGTGGTGAGGCTTTCCTCAGCCTCTGGAGATTGAATATACTGCGCAATGTAATACTGTTACAAATGAAATAAAATACCAGAATTACAACATTTAATATCCATAGAAATGTCACAAATAACATTGAGATATATCCAGGCACGTCAATCCGCCAGCCGTCACGTTCCCTGGCAGATAACATTGCAAAATACCTTAAATTAAATATAAATAGCGGACACAGAATCCATAATATAATGTAGATATGTACAACTGTGCAACATGGCAACACGTTTCATCACAGCACCTGCATGTTATCGAGTCCACATCACTTGTATATACACTTTTCCCGTTAGGCCGCTTTATTATATTATCAGCTGTCCGAATCCACATCACTTTTACTCTCCTCGGTTTTCTCCGCAGATGTTTTGGTCGATTTGTTCCATTTGTGAGAGTTCTCTGATTCCTCTGATGAAGACCTTTTCTGCCTCCTCCACTTTGCGCGTCTGTTTTTGAACCAAACCTACGTGATAAGAAAGCACAGTTAAAGTATTACGTATATACAGTAGGTCCAGCAGTCCGAAACTACGACCACGCGCGCGTGTGTGTTATTCCTTGGGAGTAATCGAGCAAATAATAACAATAATTGTAGTAATTCATTAAAACGATCACTGGGCTTGGAACATGTTTTCTTATCTCTCCATTAGCAGTACACGTGAACATATTTTCATGACCATGAACGCGTCATATTTTCATTTGCGACGTTTTAAAACCATCGATAAAACGCACAGTGCGCAGTGCATATATATAACTTCTTTGTTCAAAACAATTAAAGGTATTCAATTTCATATCGCGTGCGAGAACCGTAATCGTTTCATTTGGACTGTTCTCGAGAACTGTAAAGGGAATGTTTAATATTTTGTTAAAATCATATAGATCAAAATGATCTGTTGTTTAGTGGTTGTTTGCCGGACAGATGTTAAAGCGCAATTCCAGTTTAAGTTTAATTCACGCAAAATGGTTTATTACAGGTACAGTTTAATTAATTTAAACTCTTCCACAAGTATGCTACCCTGTGTTATAGCCTATTTATCAAAAATATTTTCCTCGTTTGAAGTACCCGATGTAAAAAATATAATAACCTTAGGATT